GGGGGGGGCCTCCGTTCTCGTCGTTTCGCCGGTGCATTGCTGATTATTTCTACTCTTATACGCAATTGTTCATTGTTCAGCGAATAATGAGGTTGATTACGGCTTATGCGTCACTCGTCTCGCACCGCGAAATTATCGTGGTGCGTGGTTTATCTGCAACTTTACATTCCCAAGGTCTTTTTTATATAATAAAACGAAATCGAAAAAAAAGCGTTGAAATTTTTCGCGGAGGTCTTGCAAAAATTTCGTAATCGTATAAATTTCGTATTCGTAAAAAAATATCTCAAATCTGATAAATTTTGTGAGCGATTTTATAAAACAAACAATATATCGTCTGTCAATGCTTTATATATTTCTCTCTCTTTCTCTCTCTCGTATAAAATAATTATATTAAAATATCGAAGAGAATTAAATGAACCTATAATCGTCAATGTCAAATAACTTCATCAATATATACATCGCTTGAATTTAAATATTTTTGCGAAAGAGATACCCCTACAAAGCCTATTAAAAAAATACTCTCCTAAAATTGTTGACGAGCGTTTTGCGAAATATAATTTTTTTTTTTTAAACTGCATATATACATATATATATATTATTCGCGCGCTTATATCGTTATGTAAAACATATTCAAGCTGATAGCTAAAAGCTTCGAATATAGGATAAGTGGAGCGCGCTCGCTTGCGAATGTTATTGCTCCCATGGCACTCGGGATAGCCGAGAGTATATATTATATTTTCGTCGGTCTGAAAAAGGGCGAGAACGATACGTCACGCTTCTCTTAGGGATCGATAATGGAAGGGACGGAGAGCTAGTATCGCGTCATCAGACAAATTGCGCAATNNNCTTCCGTACAGAATGACAGACGGGAGAAAGCGTTTCGTTGTAGAACGCGCCTTCTTCCAAGCGTGTATATATACATATATGTGTGTGTTTCCGATTTTATTTATCATGTGACACCACGAAACGGGCAGGCGACGATAGCACTAAATCGTATTAACGGCACGGGAGCACGCGAAATGCGAGAAACTATCGGAAGAATATATAAATTAATTATTGTCGCGAATCGATTATGTCTCGTATGCATAATTAATTAACAGCAGCTTGTGCTGGAAGGATCGGAGTTGTAGGGACTCTCCGAAATCACGTGGACGAAACAAACTCCCCAAAATTGCCTGGCATTTTATACTCTTAAAACACACTGATCGCATCGCTTCGAGTAGAAATTACGATAAGGATTATACTCGTATTTATTTAACACCCGCATATATCTTATCGCAGAATTATCGAGAACGCGTTATCTTCGAAGATTATAGTAATCAAATTAGTTTATATTTGCGTGGTGTTTTCTCGGAAGAAACAAAGAAGTCGCGATTGCTCTTATCTCGACGTCCTCGGCCTCCCATCTCCCGTTCCTTCCGTATTAACGAAGAACAAACACGACGGGACTGATTGCGTCTGCACCTCGATCGCACCTGCCCTCTTTTAATTAACGGCAATTGATAATTCATACACCGATAATTGACCGTCGACGACGATGACGGCGAAGGTGGAGCGCGTCCCTAACGAAACACGCCCGCGATAACGCGTGCGCGGGCACGCGTACACTCCGGCACGAATAATTATTACGAACTTAATGAGGGGTAGAGGGGGAGGGAGGGGGAAGGCCCACCCCGCGATAAAACGAGCGCGCGTACGTCATGCGGGACCTTATCTCCGGTTCGGACTACAAAAGAGGGCTCGAGAAACGAAACTACAACACACCTTTTGCGCGTTGCATGTGTAATCTCCCGCTTTATTTAAGGAGAAAAAGGGCTTCGCGAAGATATAACGGTGAAGCTAAAATTGACCTTACTAACGCGGTATATAATAAGAAATAAAATTATTATTATTATTATTATTATTATTAGTATGTGTAATATATTATACTTTTACTCATATTATTATATAGCCAAAAAGATCTATATATTATATTATTTTTATAACAATAATATATATGATAGATAACTTATATAATTATAAGATAATTTATTTGGATGATTATAAAATACATATATTGATGTTGAGAAAGGCTTGATAGTTTGAAATGTCACACAAGGGACTGTTGGTCAAAACGCAATATAATTAATTTAAAAAAAAAAAACATTTGCTTGTTTTAAAAAAATATATACCGTTAATTATAAAAATCGACAAACGAACAGTCGCTGCGCGCGAGAAAAGCGTTTCGGTGAAGAGCGGAGCTTCAAAAGCCAGTGAAACAAAATGCGCATGATCCGGGGCGAGCGGGAAAAGAAGGATGGAGGGCAAAAAGGGAAAATAAAATAAAATAAAAATAAAAGACACCGTACGAAAGTAGTCTCGGCGCGGTCGACAGTATGCTGAGGGCAGCATACGCTCCTTGATAAAGCGGCGAGCACGACCGCCAGCGCTATTTATAGGGCGCCGTTCGTGCTCGCTTGCAAGTGCGAGTACCTGTCTGCAAACACGTACCTCAATAAAACTCGCCGCCGATGTGGCGCGAGGGATTAATGCCTTTTCAGATGTTCGTTCGGTCGGAGATTAGGTTTTAGACCGTTTCTCTACCGGCTGGACCAATGCGTGCCGGAGGGAAGGGGGGGGGGCCTCCTTTTTATCGCGAGCTTTGTCGATTTTTCCTAGAGTCCTAGAATCCGCCTAGTTACCACGAACGAGCATCTCCTCCCACAAACATACGTGTGTGTTGTGTGTGTTGGTGTGTGTGTGCATTTGCCGCTTATTTCGGGGGCTCTCGACCTGTGCATTTGCCGCTTATTTCGGGGGCTCTCGACCCATCGGGGTGAACGACCCGACCGAGTCTGGGTTCGACGTCGACCCGCAAATGTCACTACTCAGTCCTTGGCTGTGAAAATTATGCGCGGTGTATATATGTAACTCAAGATGTATGCTAACGGCACGAACCTGGTCGGAAAAATTCGAGCGATCCCAGAATTTCAGTCAACGATGGCGATGTAGATGCCGGATACTTTAATAGCGCGAGTCACTCGAGCGCTCTGAGACCTACAATCTACAAAAAATAACGAAAAAAAATAAATAAATAAATAAAAAATATATCAAAGAGCAAAAATAAAATTTGAGAAACGTTTTACGTATTGTACTTTTACTTTCACGAAAGATGGGGTTAATTGCTCGGTTCGATTCCGATCCGGAGACATATTTTGCGACGTCACGATGGGACAGATTATGTCCCATTTTCGGACAACTACTGCGATTGATTCATTTGGGAGAGAGAATTGATTCTCCTATACAGCTCGTCGGAAATACAAATTGGATCCCTGGAATCTGATGTAATGCGATTTTCAAAATCAATCGAGGAATTATCCGGGCACGCGCAAAATGATCTAATAAACGTCGTCGACGCGAATTTCCACGCTTTGACGATAATTCGTCCCGTATATTGTTGGTCCTTCGTTACAAAGCTGACGATTCGTACGTTACTGGACGGGAAAACTAATTTATCGCGTACCGCTAGTTGGCCAAATATAATTAATTGTCATGTGATGGGAGCGGAATTTTCGAGGTGCCACATGTGTGCGTGATATTTCAAAAATTTCTAAATTCAAATACTAAATAATACATATATATGTCATCCATCGCATTTCGTATATTATGTTAGATCAATTAAAAAAAAAAAAAAAAATCCTTTTTTCTTCTTCCTCAGAAAAAGAATATATGCATGATAAATATAAGAAAATAATTTAAAAGTTATTTTCTCTCTTTTTTTCTTTTTATTACCGGGACTAAAATAATAAATTCCGACAAAATGAAAAATAATCATAATATAAACAATCTTTCTTCGATAAAAAAAAAAAAAAAAAAAGAAAAGAAAAGAAAAAGAAAGAAATAAAAAAAAGAGAAATATCAGAGAGCGAGAATAAAATTCCAGAAATATTTTACGTATATTTTGCTTTCACTTTCACGAAAGGTAGAATTAATTGCTCGGTTCAATTCTGATCCAGAGAGTATTTTGGGACGTCGCGATGGGACTCGAGCGCTCAGAAACCTACAATTTACAAAAAAAATCTTTCTTCGAGATCATTTGTGTGAAAAAAGTATAACAAATATATACGCGACATGCGTTATTTTAAAAAATACTTGAATCTTCAAATATGCCTTGTGTAACGACGATCCCGTTGAATACTGTTTAAACGATATTGTCGACGCTGTCGGCGAATATCGATGATCTTAATCGACGCGATTAATCAATGTCGCGAGACTAGGAAATAGCGGGATTACGATGACCATTCGATCATACACGTTCGGACATTGGTCGGCAGATTCGAACGGGAGGGAAATCAATGGTTATCACGGGATGCACGAGAGCTGGACAGATACAGCATCGAAACAGAAGAGCGAAAAGGACGGGACTCATCGACACCATGAGACAAAGATACAGAGAGAAGAGAGGGGGAGGGGGTTACTCTCGCCATGTATTTTCGGCGGAACCCTCTTGCTGTCGTTACCGAGGGACATTTCGACACGACCGACAATCCAGACTCCGAAATGCACTCTGGACGGTCGTTTGCATAGCCGCATAAAAAAAAAAAAGCTGCCTGATGTTGGACGACATATTAACGCGCCATATGGCGTTTGATAAGCGGGATTCGTGGCGCGATTCGAAACGAGGAGTAGAAGCACCGTCATTTTGTCGAACGGAAAAAATTCCCCGCGGTGACGAATACATTTTTATTTCGGCCGCTTTTTTTCCTGCCGATATCACAAATTATTTGTGATATGCGATTAATTATTTGGTATTAAGATGCTTAATTTTAAGTTTGATTAGTATTAAGATATTTAATTTTAAGATATTCAGTTTTAAAACATTTCTCAATTTTAATTTTAACTTTATTCAAACTTAATTTAAATTTTTATTTTTATTAAGATACAATATACATTGTAATAGTTTTTTAAAATTGTTTTCCTCGTTATAATATGATTTTAATTTTGATAGTATACAAAAGTATATAAACAAGTAGATACAAAAAAAAAGTGTAAGCAAATAAATATACATATGTTTCTTTGTACCTTTGAAACAAACATGTACGCGTCGAGAGATTTCTTATATTATTTTTGACTTTCCTATACTATTTACCACATTATCATATTAAAATGTTCTATGTCACGTATATTATCAGCGATTTACAGTGGAGTTTTTATTTATGTTGTGTTTGAGATAGTTGATAAGAAAAAGATATTTATTATATAAATAAATTTTATAATATTATTAATTGTGATACATACATGTATGTTTATATGTATGTGATTAATTAACGATGTTATAAAATATTTTGCGGTAATATCTTTTTAATATTGAAAATCTTAGACCCTAAATAAAGTATCTACTATGAATCACTGATGATATGGAACATATTTCATTACGATTTAAAAGATTAAGTAAAAATTAATCAAATCTAGAGGGTTTTATGAGGTTTTACCGAAAACTCCTCATTTAAACCTCAAAATGGGAAAGTTCGTTTACTGCCTATTTGAGGTATAAAGTAGGAGCTCAATACAATACAATTTTTATATAAATGGAACCTATCAAAATCCTCCAGAATCTGTAGATATGAACAAAAAGGAGGTCGAAATTAGGAGTAAAATTTCGACTCGGGTCACTTTATCGAATTTGCATATATACCCAGTATCTATTAGATCTTTCTCTTAGGTTTCGCCTTTTGATAAAAATTATAAAATAGATAGAAATTCATCATTAAATATCCAATGATTATTATGTCTATCCAATAATGCTCCACTACCTTGCAACCTGGCAGAAAGTTCTGCGAATTATATAGTATCATTATGACGAGTTGCACCTACAATATAAAGAAAACATTACAATGATATCCTTAACTTGGATTTTTGGTGAACGATGTTTTCAGGGAAATTTTTAAAAGATATGAAATATATGTATATATATATAATCGTAAATATAGAAAAAATTGTTCCGATTTACCAGTTGTGCTTTAATTATCCACTGTTTCATAGGTGCTATAGATTTTTTAACGTTCGGCCCGCAAGCTGCTAGGAAGTAGTAGATGTACGTTATCACATGTATGAAACTATTTATCACGCAGTTCAATGATGCAGGACCAACAGCGATATATCTTACAACTAACCATGCCAGAAGCAAGGCAGATACATGATGGTATAAATGCAAACCAGACACTTGATTATTTCTCTTTCTTAATAAAAATATGCCTGTTTCGACGAAATCCAAAATTTTCAAGAGAAAAAAATACCATGCACCCCTACTTAATTGTAATATAACGTTCAGATGTATTAATTAATTTGCATTGTTATATTATTTTATGAAAGGAATATGTATGAGTATAGTAAGCAATAAATAGCCTAATTATGACATTATTATACATATTCATTCAATTGTTAAAATAAGAATACTTTGATATATAAAAATGTATATCATTAACAAGAAAAATGTCTTTTTTACTTACAATTCTCGCACTATTGTTTTTCAAATAAAACAGCCGAAGATTTAATTACCGAAAGTTATTTTATCTTAATAAAAATGTAACACAAAATTATATTTTATAAATGTGTACACTGAGTTTCTTTTAGGATTAGACTTGTAAATAGACACCTGTCAATAATATATATGTATATATCCTTTCCTGTTTTATATATAACTTATTACCCTCATTGGAGTATAATCGTAGGAATAATCAAGACTTGCGGGACACGTTAAATTTGAATTTGTAAACAAACCGGCGTCGATGTGATCGTAAACTAACCAAATGTTTGCCACAATTTTAATAATATTATACAACTTTATAAACGTCTTCAGTAAATATGGCCGCCTGTTTTTCATAAATCGAGGCCCACACTCAAGTACAAGATACAGATACGCGAATATCATAAGTGGCACATGATAAGAGAACTGGATTAAAGGCAAATCGATCACTCGTGGATCTGAAAATTAAATTAATATATTGAATTATGGGCAAAAAAGGTCATGAAAAGATCATGTAGTTTGATCAACATTTAAATTTTACATTTCTACGTACTTCAGCGTATGTAGAGCATAATCGACATACTATGGTAACATCTGAGCTTGCGAGTAAAATTATATCCGTAAAATTATATATTAATTTAATATTTATATATTATCGTCGATTATATACGTATAACGTTAACATATTACATAATTTTACGCTGAAAATATTATGTTTATTTTATTCGTCATTATCACATCATCAGTCATTTACTTTGAAAATTTTACAAAATGAAAGAATTGAACTTTAAAATATTATTTATATTTTATTACGTAAGAAAATTTACGTTTAATAATAACAGAACTTTTTTTTTTTAAGTTTTTCTGCAAATGAATTTTTCCTCGAGAATTGGAAATATTTTTTAATTATCGCTAAATTTCATGTTATTACATTATAATAGCTTTAAACGATACTCTCACCAATCTTTGTCCATAAATGTTGAATTTCTTGCAATAGACCCATAATAGAGCGATTTTGTTTGTCGAATTTTGTTTAATGCGTGATCGTATCGACTTAACGATGATCAAATCGATGATATATAATCAATGTAGGCCTGTCTAACTGCCAGGAGCAAAGGAGCCACTGATCCCACTCTTACCGCTTTAGACTTCCCCCACCATCGCGAGAGAGAGAGAGAGAGACAGAGAGAGAGAGAGAGAGATTTGATATACATATTTTAAGCTTGCACGCTGCAAATTTTCTCGTCGGTTTTGCCCACGGCAGGCCGCCCCTGGGACTCGCTTAAGTTGACTTCTTATGCAAGCGATGGTGCACGGATATTCTCCGGGTCGGGTGTGTAGGTTAGGCTGTGGAACTAGATTCGGGGTTGGTTCGGTTTTGGGGTGTGTGTCAGTCACTGGGGGATGTTCCATTGCTAAACTCACCCTTCTTCTCCCGACGGTTTCCTCCCTGATTATCTCTCTCTCTCTCTCTCTCTCCCTCCCGCTCTCGGTTCTTTCAATCCCTGAACACCCCCGCGAGGATCAATACGAACCAGTGGTTATCGTGCCGATGCTCTCCGGACTTGTCGGCCGAAAAGATTTCGGGAATTGTGGTAGAAAGGGTTGGTCGCTTTTTCCAACAATAATAAACCCAATAAAATGTTACGTGAAGGATAACGAAAAGACCAACTGCATTATATTCTTTAATCAAGGATATGCAATAGAAATTATTCTGATGGGAGAAAAATTGTAGTTTTGCAGCTCAAGCAATTGAAAGTAAAAAATTAGATTTTCAATGTGTGCGTTTCTACCTATATTGTATAAATATTTATTTCTGTTACGTTTATGCTTGAATAAACAATAAGTATGTCGTTCTGTATCATTATTCCGTTTCACCGAATTATTATCTAGTAAAAGAGGAATCATGAAAACAATTTTTCAATTCCCCTGAAAAAACTCGCGTATCATAATGCAATTAAAAAATTTAATGAGCGCATGACCCTTCCCCAAAGTCGAACTTAATGCAAAAATAAAGTTACACGACGGTAAAATTCACGTCGATACGTTGTCAGAATACCGCGGCAATGTGCAAGTTGATAAATATAGCGGATAGGAAAAAAAAATGGAAGCGCGGTAAGTCGATAAATTATACGACGAAGAGAGTAGATTAAATATGTACGTGAAAAAAAATATAAAAATATAGATACAACACGTATGTGAATAGATATAAGATATAAAAGCAGATACATATATATATATGAACCAGCGCAAAAGGAAAAAAAAAAAGAAAAAAAAAAAAAAAAAAAAAAAGGAAAAAAAAAAGAAAAACGATATTGTTTTATCTCGACAATATAAAGCGCGCGAGCGTCAGGGAATTCATTAAAAATTTTAATTAACGACGCATTTCGAATATGCTCGATCGTAACAAAGCAACTTTGCGAGAAAGGAAAAAAAAAAAAAAAGAACCGCAATACCGTAATTATCGTGAGTATGTGTGGGGTTTGGCTTATTTCGCGAATATACGCAAAAACGAGCATGCGATTCTTATATTATCATCCATAATATCGTAAATGATAATAAAATTAATAGAATCACGGAATGAGAAAAGATTATCGATGACGAAATTTATGAATTAGATTTGAGACAGATTGTGTTTAATGATACGTGATTAAGATATGTTTAATTAATCAAGAATCTATCTTATATTTTGGTACGACGGTTAAAAGCACTCTCTCACGCGATTTCGCATCATGAAAGAGAGAATTGCTTGCCACGCGTGATATAATTTATAATTTAGTAGTCTATAAATATAAAGCGCAACACTTGCAAATTACAATCTAAAATATAATATCTCATTCATATATATATATATATATTTTTTTTTTTTTCTGTTAAATGCCTTGTATCGGCTTTAATCTGCAGTATTTTAAAAATATAATTGAGAGAAGGCAATGAACAACGTTTATTTTACAGTATTAATCAAATATTATCAAACAAATTAAGCAACGAGTTAAAAACTGGCTGGTTGATTACATAATTAATCGATAAAGAATTCAATTAGTCGCATTCGATACAAATAAACCATATTGTGCATGATACTTTTTAATTTATTTTTATTAACAGCTAATTTATTAGAGATATAAAAGCGCTGAGAGAAAATATCTTGCCATAATTTAAATTGAATAAAAATATCATAAATATGTGAGATATTAAACAGGATTACAAAATGAAGATATAAATATGTAAGGATATCAAATTAATTTACATCGTTTTACAATATATACGGTAGTTTTATATTCTTCCTTATGAAAAATTGTATATATTAAACAATTTTAAGTATTAAAATATTAATTAAAAGCGACATGAAAAGATATTGTTCGGGAATCATTAAAATCGCACGGACATTGAATCGAATCTGGTCGTATGTCGAATGGTACAGAATATGCGCGCCCGAAACACCTTGTTTGCACGATTGTTTCGCGAGTCGCCAGGTTCAGCGAATCCTGCGGTCAGCAGTGCATTCGAAGTTGCCATGAATCGGCTCGGCCGATCGATAATCGCATCCCGGGAATAGGATTGGCTAACGAGGACGCTATTTGCTTACGGGTTCCCATGGCTTTTCCGACGAACGACGCGGATGACTTTCCCAACGAGAGAAGGGTTTCAAAGTTTAACGATCCGACCGTAGGTAGGCATATATAATGCGAACGAACCAACGAACACGAACAGAGCCCTTCAGGAAGACGCTGAATTTTTCAGTCGCTGAGCCGAGAAACTTCGCCGTGCAAATTAATCGACGATTCCGCTTTTCCGGCCGACGATTAATTATACCGAGAAAGACGCCGCCACTCTTCGCCTTTAACAGGATGTATCTACCCAGATCTTTCAGAAAAAAATTCCCTGAAGGTTCCCTGATCTTCCAGATGCTTTTGTTCAAAATTCCAAGTAAAGAGAATATTTTAAAGATTTATTTGGGTTCAATTTCCTCTAAAATTTCCTCAGTTTTTTTATTGTACGTGTTTTTTAATGCTTTTCATTCATGCGAAGGAAAAATACAGAGCCACTTTAAGTTTCAAGTACTAGGTTTACAAATGTACTGAAAAAAAAAAAAATTGAATGGATTTGTTAAGATAAAAATTTTTAACTTGCATAACATTTTCATTTTTTATCAAGAAGACTTAAAATAAAAAATTAATAAAATTTTCCCTAAAATTTCCCCAGTTTTTTTATTGTACGTGTTTTCTAATGTTTTTCATTTTTACGAAGGAAAAATACAGAGCCATTTTAAGTTTCAACTAAGTTTGCAAATGTATTGAAAAAAAAATTGAATAGATTTGTTAAGATAAAAATTGCATAACATTTCCATTTTTTATCAAAAAGACTTAAAATAAAGAATATGAAAAATATATATTAAAATATTGAATATATAAACAGAGAGATAGATATATATTTATAATATATTTTAAACACATAATTCACTTGGATTGCTTATAATATAAGAACAAAATTATCAAAAAAAATTTTTAAAAAATTCTCTGGGTCCCAATAAAATTCCATGAAAATTCCCTGATTTTTCCAGGGAGTGGACACTCTGTTTAATCTCTACCGATTATTCACGACTCCATTTATCGCGCGAACTTGGTTCGATTTTCGAACAATCGGCTTATATTTCGCTGTTTGTGAGATTAAAATAAAAAAATAGATTCCCGAACGATTGCAATCGTGCGCGACAAGAAGGAAATGGACGATATTACATGTCGCATAAATTTGTACACTTTTGACGGAGCATAGAATAGTTATAGGATGGCGAATGATCCCCTAGGAGGGCAAAATACGTATAAATATTCCATCTTCGAGATTAAATATCCCGAGGCATGCGGAATAGGAAGTTCGCCAGTGCGTTATCGAGGATGTATGTATAATGCTGCGGGGACCTATGGGAAACGCTGATAGTAAATTTGGTAGAAGCTTTTCCGAGACAATATCGCGAAATGCCATATCAACAAAACACGAAGCGAACGGCGATAACGGCTGTCGACCGTATACATGCGAAGATAATAAATTTCTTTCGCTAGAGATATCACGTTTTAAGTAACCCGTCGTAAGGATAAAACGTGTCTCTCGTATCTTGCATTTAAAATTTCTTATCTCATTGGATGGACTGTGTATGAATCTACAAAGTAAACGTACGCGAGTCGATTGTCCCCGCGAATTTCCGAGAGGAAACATTCTTCGAGCGATACCGTTCAGTCGTCGCCGCCGTTATACGTGCTGGCACGATCGATTTAAGGTCATCCTGGCGATAAGAAGAAGGAATTCGGGACGATTCCTTCGCTCCTTTAGTCGCGCGCAGCGAGACACGCGCGCACGTGACCTATCAGCGTGAACTGTCAGTGTGCGAGAACTGTCAGCGCGACGCACGTGACAGTGGTTTCGGAAAAAAAATGCAATCGAGAAAGATACGCGTGCACACAAGGATAAAAGGAATCAGGGGACTTCCTCTCTGCTAAAAAGTCCGATCTGCATTCTTACGTACGTCGTGTCACATCACGTGCACATCTTGTCGCGTTCTTTACCTTCGCTTCCTGCTCTCCTCGACCTCGTTCGATGAAAGATGCAAACGCTCATGTTCCACTCTCGAGGAGGGAGAGAACTTTCCGTCCGCGGAAACTTCGAAGACACTTCGTTAACCCGGGACGAACCCGGGAAAAAGAGCGCGAATCTCGCCGTCGTGGACGGAAAACTTTCCGGCCCGTCCTTGCCGGATGCAGCTTGAATAATCGCGCAAGATAATTGAAACGGAAGACTCAATTTATGATCGGACAAAATCGCGCCGGCGTCGCGAGAGTCGAGCGACAAAATTATGAACCCGACAGATTCTGCGAGATTTATCAAGTAACACAATTTTTTTTTTAACGGAAGATTAATTCAAATAATTGTCTCGATGTATAATAATTACATCAGCGATATATATAATATAGATAATGCAAGGCGATGCAGTTACGTCTTTTTTCTTCTCGAAATATTTGTATCGCATTGAAAGTAAGGTGATTATCGTAAGCGATCTGACGGTAAAGTAAAGGGGCAGGTGCACGTGAGACGCACATTGAATTAAAGTAGCGTGCGAATAAACATATGCATTGTTATTATACGAAGGCTACCATCATCCTTAAAATTATCTTGTCATAAAATATAATCATTACTCGCACGAAAATGCAACACGGTGACGTTACGCTGGATATTTTTTACAGGTCATATGGGTACCTTTTATATCTACGAACCGTTTAATTCTTTCCGTCTCTCTCGGATCTTGCAGTAATAAAAGATCACGCTTTGCTTTATTATAGATAAAAAAATCAAATATCGTCATAAATTTTTATCTTCAAATAATTAATACTTGGCGCGAGACACTTCCGTGTCTCTTGATATTGTAAAAAGTGCAAACAAAATGCGATTTAATCGAGCGTAAAAACTTTGTTTCGCCACTTAATATACATTATTACAAAAAGAAAACCGTAGCAGGATTTAAAAAAAAAAAAAAAAGAGAGAGAAAGAGAAATTTGCTTCTATAATTCTAAAAAAAATGAAAATAACCGGAAACTTTCGCGCTGGATTTATTTAACACAAACATACGTTTATATGTCTAAATATAAGTAGCGACTTGAGTAAAGTCGCAATATGTTCTCCCTCGTCGATATCCTTTCCTGAGCGCAGCAAAGTATACGAATTAATGAGCGCGTACCACGCTAACGTGCCACGCACATTCGTCACAACTTTTCGCATAATTTTCAACATGGCGCGTACGCGCAGATGTCAGAAAACAGCTGGTGGTGTGCGCGTGCCTGTAATACGTGACGTCAGTGAAACGATTTTGACCGCCGATACAACTCAGATGCATAGATTGCATCTACTTCCCTCCCTCCCTGTCTGACTCTCGCCCCCCTCACCCTTCTCGTTCTATCTCCCTCTCATCCTTCAGTCGGGGTTAACGTACGACGCCAAAAGATCCTAACTACGATTCCCCTGATGGGAATCATCTCCGTGAAAAGAAGCGAAGAACCTCGGGGAAATTGATAAATTACTCTTTGGGCACAATTAATCCCCCTCCCCCCTCTCCCTCTTGGCTCTCATCGCGCGCAAGAATAGCGCACTGATTTCGCAAAATTTTTCACGATTATTTGGCGCCATTTATATAGCCAGTGTCCCCGCGCGATTTTTCCGCCTGCGGTAAAATCCATGTAAAATATTTCCCCTTTGTCGGCTATAATATTGTTTTATACAATCGCGTGGAAATGATGCGAAAAATTTCGCGGGTTACGGGGTTAAGGCGAGCGACTTTACTGCAAATGAAGGCGCGCATCCGGAGAGAGAGAGAGAGAAAAAAAAAGTAACGTCACAGAAAAATGAAAGCAAATAAGAGTAACGTCCACAGTAATTCTTTTACAGTATCCTCCTTCTCGCGACAAAAATTCCCCTGGGTGTTATTAAAACGGTAAAACAAATCGCTCTATCGCTTGACGTTATCGAAAACGCGTAAAGCGTTAAAAAAAAAAAAAAAAAAAAAAAAAACGCATAAAATACAACGCGCTCTCAAACTAAAGTGCTATTGCAGAATTTTCCCGATCGCGATAAAAATTTCGCATCCGAGATCCCGAAGTTTCTCATCGATAAGTGCTCATTAATGAGAAACTTCGTTTCCAAGATGCCACAAACATTTTCGTCTCGTAAAATCTTGCCCTCGAATCTGCGGATTTTAATGCATTTCTTCTTTTACGTCGACAATCCAACCCAAAAGAAAAATTCTACGCGTCGTAAAATTTTTATTTCGCCGCGGAAAAGAGAGAGAGAAATAATCGCGCGTCGCATTAAATGTTCCATTCACAATAGTTGGAAGTTTCGCGCGAAAACCCGTTGTGAGGTGAATGATCTCGAGCAGAATAGCAGGGGGGTGGAAGGGCTGGTTTCTCCCTCTCTCTCTCTCTCTCTCTTGCATCTTTACAATGACAATCGTGGTGGATGAAGGCACCGGGAATATATACTATGGGACGCGAAGGAGATGACAACGATGGAGAAAAAGCTGAGTGAAACCCTTAAATTTACACGCGTCGCGGGTTCCTTCCCTTTGCGGCTCCTCTCTGCTTCTGCGAGCCCGTTAGAAACCCTTTGTAACGGCGCCGTGTCATCTTTATCCTCTAAACCGTGGACGACGTTTTTATGTCGCCGATCGATCGTACATTATCGCGGTAAAACGTGATAAAGCGCGCTACTTACGTAAAACCGGGAAGATCCGATTAGGACGCCAAAGGGAAGTGTCGTCTTACCTGAAACAAGGGAGATAATCGGTATCAGTTACAATTTCGTAATCAATAATGGAAGAAAAAAAAAAAAAATGACAGAATCTAAAAATGTCAATTATTACAAATGGGCGTCAAACTAAATGCGGTATTTATGTGAATAAAAATAACGAGAGGAATTTCGCGTTTTGACGTTCGATTCACCAACGATCGAGTAATTCGGGGCATCGAATATTTCCACGTGGTAATCTCTTTCACGTTGCACTGCGACGAGAACACGTGCATTCAGCAGTAGTGCCCCGTGATTGTACTCGTTTGGCTTTTTCATAACGCGATGGGGCAATATTCTTCGACAATGGAATCGCTTCGGAAAATATTTGCCGAAAGTCCGGGAAGCGTACGGTGATACAGTCGTGTCTCGTATCAATCGCTCGTGTAATCCGTCGATAAATAATATCGAATGCACGTTACGCACGTGTACGCGTCGATATTCCATCTATAGTATATAATATGCGTCAGTTATTATTTACAATATGCTTAGACAGAACGATCTCGATGATAACACGCAATATGATTGTAACGTTATATTGTATTATTACATTATTGTACACACAGGATATGTTCAAGCTATCGAATGGCTACACTTAATATACCGGAATAATGGATTTTACTGAATAAAAATATTGTTACCGATTTAAAAGTAATATCTAAATCAGTTATATAAAGCGCTTCTGTAAATAATATTTGATGGAGGAAAACACGTTGTAATAAAGTCCATTTCATCAGTTTTCATATCAATTTCAATGATTTAATGGTTGTAAATGGGAAAAGAGAAAGAGAGAGAGAGGTAATAAACTCAATAATAAGAGAACTAGAGCAGGAGGTGGACGAGAGGAACGAAATGAAAGAAAAAGTGCACGCGCGCAATTGCAATTGCCATCGACGAGGACATTCTACCTTCGACATCTGATATTTCAGAGTATTAAATTCCCCAGGTTTGCACGCCCACGCCCTTGTAAACGACAGCCCCGAGGGAGAAGGTTTTCAACATGGCGGGGCGATAGCGAGAGAAAGAGATACCAAGTCTCTCGTCACCTTTCTCCCTCACCCCTCTCCGTCGTCACGCAATGCCACGTGACTGCGTCTCTTTGAGAATAAACACTGTCATCGCGCGGTGTCATCCTCGTCTCCGTTACGTCGCCATCTTTTACACGTAAACGCGTATAAAAAATTAAAAAAAATGTAGGGCAGTAACACGCTTTGTAAACAAGTGAGAGAGGGATTTTAAATCTTGACGGTAGCTTGTAAGAGTTTATCCTTTGTGAAGATTATGCAGATGTTACTCAGCATCTTCCCCTTTCTTTCAGCTTTAAATTCATACACACGAGATATGATGTGTTAAAAGAGAAATAATTTTTAAAATAATATTACTAGAGAAAGAAAGCGAGACTATTCCTTTTTAACAATATAAAATATTAATTTTAATTATTTAATATTACTTTAATAATATAAAAATATATACAAAAGCAATTTATATATAATATACATATATATCGTTATTAAATTGCAAAGAGAGGGAAAATGGTTCACCGGTAAAATTAAAGTTTGCGCAATAAAGAGCAAAATTCCTCGAGCACACAAATGCAATTAATTAAGATTTTAATTAAAGTATTTAATTTAAACACATGGAAGAAAAAAATATGTGTTAAAGACGAGATTGTCTTCTGCTTCAATATTTGTTGCGACTCTCTCTCTCTCTCTCTTTCTCTTTACCAATTATGTATATTAAATATTATTTAACCGAGATGTGCGAAAATGCTAACTTTTGCAGCCGAGAATATAAAATCTTCACCTGCGAATGCGAAAAGAATAAAAGACGTGTGTACGTATCATTGTTATTGTGATGAAACGTCACCTAACGATAGCGAGGCTAATACTTGCCGACTATTACGCGCGACTCATTAACGATAGCCATTGTTTGTCGCGCGTATCCATTTCGACACAAATGCCAAGGTGACTGCGGTGATCACGATTGTTGCAGACGCTCAGCCTTAATTAATATGCGAATCTTAGGAAAGGCATGGGCGTGGAAGCGCGCGTTAAAGTCGCCGCCGGTGAATTAACTTCCTAATTAACGACCGCGGCTGCGACGTCGTTATTAAGGTGTTAAAGTGAGAGATAATATACGCCTGCGGAAAAACTTTCATTTGTGCACGGACGGTTGCACCTCCAACATGCATCGTTCCAATTAACCTTGATGCGGAAAAACATGATCTAAGTAACACTAAACTAAATTATTATACTGAGATTATTCTAGTCCGATAAAATTTTATCTATTTTTCTCATATGTCATACAAAGTTACTTGTCATTAATAATTACAACATAAAAAAATAATAATATAAAAATATAAATGACTCATTATTATCAATATTTTTCTTTAATATAGGAAAGAGACAGATACCGGACGGTGGCTTTTCTACTCGGTAGGAAGAATATAACTTCTTATCTAAGAGCGGTGCTCTCTCACAATACGAGCACCTCCCCGGGGTTAATCGATCGTGGCCGCGCGCGCTCTCCCATAACTTATCTACGGTGCAGAAGCTCGCGGGGAAATCGGCGCAAAGTTGGCGGGCGCCGTCATAACGCTGCCGTGCATTGTACGAGCGAATCGTTCGATCGGCTGGAAATTGAAATTTACGAGGCGACTGTACGTGCAACGTTGCACCCTGGTAATTTTCCAGCGACGAATCTCGACCGCCTCTTCCTCGCCGGAGAGAGAGAAATATCCTGCCAAACCGCTGCAATTTTTTTTTAAATAAAATTTTTATTTAAATGTAAAGGAAGAGAAATATATGATACGTGTGTCTAAGTATTCTTCTTTCGGTTTTAATTATTTCAAATTTAAAAACTATATAAGATAAAATTTATACAGCCACTTTATATGCTTTCTGATTTTCACATTACATTGGATTATAAATTTGTTGTTAAATTTTATTTGAATATTAAGTATAATTAATATTATAATCAAAATTAAAAT